GGGGAAACTCTATGGTTTTCCCTTGTATGGCCGTGGCCCCGCCCCCAGCGTGCCCAGCGTGCCTACGTCACTTCCGGGTGACGCGCGCATTCACTTGACGCCGGCCGGGAGCCCCCCGCTCCCGGCAAAGAATTATTTGGCAACCCTACATTGACCTCATCAATCCACATGGTATAATCTGCCCTGAGTCTCACTGAGAAAAGTGGACTAAAAATACAGCAAATAAATGAATCCAATTCAGAGAGACAAGGAAGGTGAAAGGTCAAAGAAAAAGGGCAGGAAGGGAAAATGATGGTCAAACATGCACTGAAAGTGTAGGTGACAATACAGAAGAGCCTACAATAACTAAGGGGGAAGACAGACACAATACAAAAAAGTGGACTCACATATGCTCTTCAGTTGTATGGCAAACCTCATTTGCCACTAACCTGACAGATAGGTTTTCCAGCCAATTGAATTCTAATTCATGCAGTCAGTCAGGCCCCTACTCCTATGTTTACTCTCTGACATGCTGCTGACTCCTCCCATCAGAAGCTGATAACAGTTGTGTGACTGTAATAGAAGGACTGCAGCCTTCTTTCCTCTCAGTCCCCTTATGACAGCAGAGGCAGCAAGTGAGAGAATGAAAAAGCACCAGAGAGGGAAAAGACAGAGTAATGAAACTAATGTTTAATTCACGTCCGTTACAGCTGGTTGCTCCATTCAGTGGTGAAACACTGATATGTAAAGAGATTTTTTTTTCTGATGTAGTCTCTCTCAGACATGAATTTGGAAAACAATGGGAACATGTTAATATGAAAGGAATCCTAGCAAAGAGGTAACAAAGAAGCTTTCATCTTTCACCTTCCAATTTTCAGAGTCAAAGGTTTGCACCTACAATAGCTAACCACACACATAGGTTTCTGTGCAATCCAAGATCACAGTGACAACTAAACACACTGCCAGGATAATGTACTGCCAAGCAACTGCCAGTTGAAAGCACTGATGGCTGTCAATATAACTCAACTTGCTCTCCTCAGTAGTCCCTTTTGACCTATGAAAAGATGATGCCTGGAGTCATGGGGCCCATGTGGAAGGTTGCTGACAGGAGGGGAACTAGGTGAAACTCCTCCTTCTCCTCCCTTTTCTGTGAAATTATGAGTAGAAGAGGGGAGGGGGCAATTTTGCTCAATTCTCACTCATCACCACAGCACCTTCCCCCAATCTGCATGGTTTTTATCCACAGTCTCACAACTCTAGGCAACATCTCTATGGAGGTCAAAAGGGACTGGTAAGGGACGGAGGGCACAGCAAAAATCCATGCATATTGTTTTGGCAGTTGGTTGGATGAAAAAGAGAAGAAGATATTGGATTTATACTCCACCCTTCACTCGGAGTCTCAGAGTGGCTTACAGTCTCCTTTCCCTTCCCCTCCCAACAACAGACATCCTGTGAGGTAGGTGAGGCTGAGAGAGCTCTTTCGAAAACTGCTCTTTCAAGAACAGCTCTGACAGAATTATGGCTTGCCCAAGGTCATCCAACAGCTGCAAGTGGAGGAGTGGGGAATCAAACCTGGTTCTCCCAGATTAGAGTCCGTGCACTTAACCACTACACCAAACTGGATTCAACTCAATGCCTGCATTAGCTCCAAAGATAGTGCCATTCATCAGTCCAAAGTGAATGAAAAAGAGGAATCAGTGGGAAAGCTCTGTAAATGCTGTCCTAAGAAAAGCTGAACCCTTCTAAGCCAGCTGACTTCAACAGACTTAGAGGAGTGCAATTCTGCTTAGCACGGCGTTGTAAGCGCTCTAGTTCCCAGCTTAAAGCATCTATTAGCATACATATCTGTGCTTCCTATCTCAAAATACTGAAAGCTCAGCTTGATAGTCGCCTATATATGACAGAAAGTTGCACTGATTGTCAGTGATTTAAAGGATGTGTATTTCTATGGTATTGTGTAAGCAACGTTTAATCATGTTGTATTTAGCTATTTCAGTGCCGCCTTCCTGTGGTCCTTTTCTGTTCTCTGTATTAACAGCATACAACTTTAATCTAATTAGAAAGTCATAAATGAAGATACTTACAGCCAGAGAGAATTTCTTCCCTGCGTGATAACGCCTGTGAACTTTGTTAGCCTCCGAGCATCTAATTCAATCCACTGGTACGGATCGTTCCGTCCTGCACACCAAGCACCATCATAAAAATCATTCTCATTAACACCTGCCTGAAAAGAAGGCACAGCCATCTTATAAATCTGAACTGATACACATTTTATAAACATGAAGTTTAGTCTAGTTACTCCCTTCCACATATTTATATTTGGCTATCATGTATAACCTCAGAGGTTAGTGATAAGCAGTTTCCTCAGGACTGAAAAGAAGGTGGAACAGCTCACATAAATGAGGCGACACAGAATGGGAAATGAGAACAGAACTGCGTAAGTCAAGGCAATTGTTTTTTTGGTTTTTTACCGTAACCCAGTAGGTCATAAGAGAAATGGAATGAATTCCATGTTGTGTTAAAGTACAAATACTTGGACACAATATTTTGAACACTTTATTTATTTAAACAAGTTCTATTCTCTTGCCTCTATATTTCTGAGGTTGCTTACTGGGATAAATTTGGCAATAAAGCAACTATAACACGTACTGTCTTAAAATATACAATCGCAAATAGCCAATAGTTCCACAATCAATAGTCAATAGTTAAAACGATCAATTCAAGGCCAGGCATCTGCAGAAGGAGAAAAAAATAGGAAAAAATCAGCCCAAAACTTTGATTGAAAAAGTTTTCACATGGCCCTAAAGTTAGTCAAGCTGCTGCTATGGAGACAGAGTTCCAAGAGGTGGCACCACCACTGAAAAGCCCCATCTCTGACAGCTATCTCCCTAGCCTCTCAAGGTAAAAAGGCACATAGAGTAGAATTTTTGTTGGTGACCTAAATTAATATGCAGGTACATGGAGCTGTGGTGGCTCAAGTGGTTAAGATGCTGAACTGCAGGCTGTGGAAGGTCAGTAGTTCAGCAGTTCGAGACCCGGGTGCCGCAAGATGGAGTGAGCTCCCATCTCTAGTTCCAGCTCCTTCCAACCTAGCAGTTCGAAAGCAAGAAATTGCAAGTAGATAAATAGGGACCACTTCGGTGGGAAGGGAACAGCGTTCCGTGCGCCTTGGCGTTTAGTCATGCCGGCCACATGACCATGGAAACGTCTTCGGACAGCGCTGGCTCTTCGGCTTTGAAACGGAGATGAGCACCGCAACCCTAGAGTCGGATTCAACTGGCTTTCAAGCAAGGGAACCTTTACCTTTACCTGTAGAAGAGGATGGTCCTTAAGTACAGGACATGCTCAACAGTTACCCTACCCCTGAGTGGTTGTAGAATAATTTCAGCACACACTGAAACTGGGGTTGCACAATCAGGCCAAGAATGAGTCAGGCCTTGGAATCCTATAACAAGCGTTGTTCAATTGTGTGTGTGAATGGGTACAGTGCGTTAAAAATTAAATATTTATTTTTTTATTTTTATTTAACTTTAGACTTGATATACCGCCCTAACCCCCATGGGGTGCATCTACAAATCCATAGAGACTAACAATTATTGTATGAGGCCAAGGGACATTATATTTAAAACAGTAAATAAAAATGAATTTAAAACTCATAAAACAAACCTACCAAGATGTACATAGGTAAATAAAAAAACTTTAACCTTCGAGAACAGCTTTAGCCCACATATTGTTTTATATTTTAGTAATCTGCTTAGAACTGATAAGTTAAGAAGCAGTATGAGGTAGGTAGATATTTTCTTAGCCACCAAAGCAAAATGCACCACTCTATTGTAGACAAACTGATCAGAGTCTAACAGAAGAAAAATTAATTTCTCTTCTGCTGTAGAAGGATCTGAGACCTTCAAAATCTCAGCAAGAAATTTGCTTCTAAGCTTTATATAAAGAGGGTGAAACAAAATGTAACGTGGGAGACTAAAGAGCCGGCAGTCCCTCATTAATTGCTGCTCCTCCACATACTTTGTAAAGACTCTGCAGTCTCCCTTATCTGTTTGAGAATTACAGATTAATGTAGAGTGAAGAAATTAATGACAGAATAAAACACAGGATGCAAGAACCAATCCCTAGTTAACCCACCATCAAACAAAATTGATAAGGGGTACAGTACTGCACTCAATAAGCACAAGAATGGTCATCCAAAAAGCTATGAAAATGACACAGGAAAGAGACATTCACAGCTGTGGATCTGTTTGCTCCAGCCCAGATTCAAATAAGGCACAGAGGAATAAATGGATGGCTGAGGTAAACCAGCCAATGGGGTCATGCAAGAGGAGAATATATAAGCAAACCTTCCCCCTTTTGGTCAGGCTTGTTCCGCTTTGCTGCTGACCTGCCCCCCCCCCTTCCCTTTAGATATTTTGGGATTCACTGGTTCTCATTTGTGGCAGGAATTTTATGAATTCTTCCTGATTGGGTACTGGGGGGGGGACCACTTTTGTGCTTTCTTCATGATGATGGAGGAAGTGGGGTACTGGATTAAATAGACCTGGTTTTGTACTGTTTAGGCCATAACTAGCTTGACAGGAACAGAGCAGGTCGCTCATGTTAGGTGGGGATTATTAGCCTGAGGCATCAGGCATGATGGTGGGTGTTTCTGGAAGGGACCATGACTGGCCTTGTAGCAGGATAGGATTGAGAAGGAGTGGCCCTTGGTGCTGAGTAACATTTTATCAATCCCGGTAGTGCCTTTCAGTGCATCAGGGGAGAAGAATGGGGCTTGGTACCCTTCGGCACATTATGTACAGGTGAGGATAAACAAGCTGGCCATGTTTGGCGCCAGGGTGGATCTGCCGAAACTGAAGGCAACCATCTGCCTATACTGAAGGCTACCTAATGCAACCTGCCCCATTAAAATATTTAGTATGTTTCAATATGATGTAGAACAGCTATTTTAAATAAACTAACTAAACCCATATTGGGTCTGCGTCTTTATTTGAGTTGCTGGGGAAAACATGTCAATGCATGATGACATGGCCATTTGTTTCCACCCGATATATAGCTGTGTAAAATAATAATTCCAAATTCTATGCGAGTGCACATTTTTTCTGTATACTTATCTCATGCATATGTGTGTTTTTGTGTGTACACTGGCCAAATTGATGTTATTGTCACAAATACACCATTGCAGGGTTTTTTTAGATCCTTTTTCATGTTCTTGTCATCCCTGATATTCCTGCACTCTGCCTTATTTTACTGTCATCTCTGTACTGGTTAGCTATACTGTCAATTTATTCATATCATTAATTACAAATTGCAACTGGGGTGGGGTGGAGGGATAGTGGCACTTGGAGAAAATACCATCTCTCTCCATCACAACCGCAAGCCAGACTACTGCAGCTGTTTTTCACATTAAAAAAATTACAATAGATGAAATCAAAGATCTGAAGTCTATCTGTCCCCTTAACCTAGTCATTAAAAATGACAGCAAACAACTCAAGAAACTTGTGTAATTTGAAAATGCTAAACACTATTGATTTCAGACCAGAGCAATGTTATGGGAAACTTTTGAAGAATGGCAAAACTGCACATTGACATAAAGTGTCAGTCATGATGGTCCATATGAATGGCTAATCTGAATGATGGGATTACTCCCTGATTATCTGCCTGCCGCACTGAAAGAGTGCAACTCCAGCTTTACCAGGCATGTCTATTACAGATAAAGTTGTATTAGAAAAACAGGTACGGTTTGAACAGGAACAGGCAGACAGATAAACTCAAATGATTAAATTCTGCACTGAGTTTAGGAACTCAAGTGTCAGTTATTGACATGTGTTCCTGAGAGATTGGAATCAAAAGTGTATTTAAACTGAAAACTGATTAAAGGAGAAGCTTAAGGTTCATGAAAAAAAATGGAAGAGGCTATGGTAGTCCAAATCAACTGAAGTACAGAAATGGAAGAAAGAATCTAGAAAACCAGGACACTGGTTATTATTATGGAGGGCATATGTGTGGCATTGTTTTCAGACCCAGGATTTTGTTGTGTACTGATTCCAAGAAATATTGTTTGTGTAATAGAAGAACAAACCAAGATGCCAGAAATAATTACTATAGTGTGCCCTATCAAAACCAAGAAGATTGATATTTGTATTTATTATTTATTGGAGAGTTTTATTGTTTTCTATGCGATCATTTTGAGGGAAGAAAAGAAGCCCGTTTAAATTTATGGACGGGACACTTTATTACCAGGCTATCTCCTGTACTGTCTCAAAATAATTTATAGGGAACCACTTGGAGAATTTTAGGAGGGTATTATTTGCAGGAGGCCACTTATGCAAGTATAACTGTGAACAAATAGACAATTTATTTTAGGTTGGCTGGACTGGTGGACAAAATTACAAATAAAACAAAACAAGAAAGGATGGCCTTTGCATTGGACTACATCAGTCTGGGGCTTCTCAGAGACTCAGACATAAAGGAGTTGTTGCCACACAAATTTCTTGCCACTTATGGTGGTTCCCCAGTCCCTGCAATCATGACGCTACTGATCATACACTGTTGCTTTTAGATTACTGCATCTTTATTTATATGCCAATAAAAGGCGTTGGATTTGATTTGACACTGTTGCCCCTTCCCCAACAGGCTATTTGCTGCTTCTTGGTGCTTCCCAAGCCACTATGAGCTCCTTCATGAGAACGGAATAAACATTATGGAGATCAAGTTCCAGATTTGATATATACAGCAGACTTTTATTTGAAGCTGCTTCTTTTGGATTAATCCCATCCATGGGGTTATTGCAGCATGTGCAAGTTACCTAAAATGCTCATTAACTTTAAGGAGATTACATAATGTAGAGATACCTCATTTTTCAACAGAAGCACACTCAGTTTCCCCAGAATGATCTACCTCTTATCATTTTTTATCCCATAACAAAAGGGAACAATACACACACACTGCTTCTACAGAGTGCCATGTAGTCAGCCTCAATTGTCAGTGAGAAAGGCAGGCGATAAATCTAAATATATAAATAGATTATATTGTGGAATTAATAAGACCTGGAATGTGCAAAAACATCCTTTTCATCTGACAATTGCTTAATGAAATACTGAAATCACTATGCCTATCCACAGTGTAGACAATTCCTATTTTTCAATCAATAAAAAAATCCACCATTCACCAGCTCTTTCTCACTCCACTGTGCATCACTTCCCTCATTTTAAGGAATCCATGGATATTTGACTTTTGGATAACAATAGTGTTGGCACAGCCAAATAAATTAAATTAAATTAAATTAAACACCATTCTAATATAAAAAGGTCCCATTTGTTAAATTAAAAAAGCACTGAGTGTGGTCAAAAAGCTATAAGCATCTCCTGACACAACTTGCAGAACAATCTATTCAAAACCCAATATCCTATTCCACTTTGAAAGAACAGTGATGTTACCTGAATATTTAGCCGTGCTCTGTGGGCCCCGAGGCCATATCGTTTTACTGTAGAGGCATGGAGCTGGAAGTCACTAATCTTTAATGTTTCAAGACCAAGGGGAGGACAGCCTGGAAAACAAAGTTTTGTATAGTTGACAACACCGTGGTAGCAGGCTTCTGAATAATTTCTATTACTTGTTTCTCAGATGGTTTCTGTTGTGTGCCATTAAAAAGAGAAAGATAGTTCCAGGTGGGTAGCTGTGTTGGTTTTCAGTAAAAGAGCAACATTCAAGTCCAGTTGCACCTTAAAAACCAACAAGATTTCCACAGATTAAGCTTTCAGGACTCAAAACTCCCTTTGTCAGATTAAAAGAAAAAGTTTCAGAGAACAGTGGGGCATTATTATGCATGAAATATATTGCCAAGCACATAATGGTGTTTGGTTATTAAAGGATTTGGAGTCCTATGACAAAGCATAATAATGGAATCCCCCTACACCACCACTCCACCCTCTGTGCATGTACAAAGCAAACATATCTCATACTTGTGTCCACATTTAGCTGCATACCTACTCTTTTATTCTTTCTCCCTTCTCTCTTGCCACCATATTTCAATAAAATATATTATTTAACATTTATGACACTGGTATTTCCCAAAGTCAGTGAAAAGATCCACAAATTTTGGGACGTTTACAGACCAATCCTAGGCAAAGTACAGTACCCTGAGCAGCTACCCTTAGTATAGTAAAATATGAACTTCTATTACACCCAAGGAAGTGGGGAGGAGCCAGAAGTCCTAACAGGAAATGTAGGGGGAAGCAGAAAATACACAGGAAAGGAACCAAGGAGAAAAGGCTATTCTGTGTCTGTGTTTGCAATAAATAGTTACTGAAAAGTCATAGAGTCTCTGGTGCTAATCTGACACATAGTTTTTTGATACCCGCTTTTTGTCAAGAAGTGGCAGATATGTATAAACTACAAAAATCATTAAAGTAAAACAAAAACATTTTTCCTTACTTGTTATATTATACAACAGGAAGAACACATTGCTAATGCAGATAAACACTCCACAATACATTTAATACCATTCACAAAATGGAACCACATATGTTAATCTTTAGGTAGGCAGCTACATTCCTCCTGTAGCCAAGCTTAGTTCTTGGTAGACAGGCATGGGGCTAGGATTCTAGATGGACCATAGGACAGGACTGTATATTTTCATCAGTTCCCTGAATCGGTCCAACAGACCTAGTATAGCTGTCTCTGCTCTAAGATTCACTTTTACTTTCTGAAGAAGCTAGGGCTGGGCCCACAGCACCCCAAGTGGTAGGGAAGAGTCAATGCAGAACAGATACTCTATTAGGCTATTATGGGTGCTCCTATCAGTAAGCTGAGTACCTTGTACAGTTATATGTAAGCTGTTATGAAGGCTGTTATGGGTGCGCTTATCAGTAAGCTGAGTACCTTGTACAGTTCCGCAGGGCCTGCAAGACAGAGCTCTTCCACCAGGCTTTCGAGTAGGAGCTGCCACCACCGCCACCGAGTTGGAAACAGCGGGGTATGGGAATGACCCTGTGAAGATTGAACTGCAGCACAACGGCGTGCGAATACCACTGAGCTGGGATCTGACTGAATATCCTTTGGATACCATCTTTAAACTGAAGATTACCACCTGCAACCATCTTGAAGCACTTTATTTGTAACTTTGTAATTTATGTGTTTTATCTTGTTTTTATGTGTTTGGCATGCGTGCCTGGATGTTAGCCGCTCTGAGCCCGCTCACGGGGAGGGCGGCCTAGAAATCGAAATACAAATAAATAAATAAAGAATCAACTACAACAGCAGAGGAAACAGAAACCTGTGGTGGCTTCTGTGCCATCATGGAATCCTAGGAGCTCCTGGCACTTGTGAATATTTCATATACATTCATTTAGTAACACTCCAATAAAATAGACCAAAATTATTACTTCTACATTGCAGATTAACAGATAGTGAGTAGTTCTTAAGGACTGAATTACACCACATGATGCACTGCTGAAAGAGTTCTTTTTAAAGTATTTTAACGTAATATATATCAGCTCACAACACTGTGGCTTAATACAGAGTGCAAGTAATGTCCTTGTTAAGTCGCTCGCTTAACAAAGCTGTCGTATTTTAACGTAATATATATCAGCTCACAACACTGTGGCTTAATACAGAGTGCAAGTAATGTCCTTGTTAGGTCGCTCGCTTAACAAAGCAGTCGGAGAGTGATTCAGCAAGAACACAACTTTATTCTTCAACTCGAACACAACTCCAACACGGATCAACATCTGATAGCCAGAACAGCCTTTACATTGCAGCTGTCCTGCTTTTAAACATTCCCGGCTAATGTAGCCACACCCACTGTACAAATACCAACCAATAAGGCTGTTCACATAAGGACCAATCACGGATGTTCCCGCTCAGGGAGCTTGCTAGAAGGTGATTGGTTAGGTGCTTCCTGGGCTAGTAACACGATTGGATGGATTTGGATCCTAGCCCAGGACGAAGCTTTACATAGCATTTCAATTAGATGTTTCACAACATATGCAAGGCAGCTTTGAATACACTACAGAAGGCACCACTCACAATCTGTTTGCAGACTGTGAAAGAGCGATCATGCACCATTTATAACGTTATTTCTGAGATATACTATAACTAAGGGCCACCTCATGGGGTTTTCAAGGCAAGAGATGAGCAAAGGGGGTCTGACATTGTCTTCTTCTGCATAGCAGTCACTGTTTACGAAGCTTAACATTACATATGTTTCACAACATATCATGCATTCAAGGCAGCTTTGAATACACTACAGTCCTTTAAAGCTAAGGAAGCAGGAGACTGTGGCAAAATGGCTGTGAGGAGGTTTAGAAATAATGTCGTGTCAGTCGCAGAAATGTTAATATATGTTGGTAGGCTTTCTAGGGTTTTTTAAGTTGTGGGGGTTTATTGTTATATGAAGTTGTAATTATGTATTGTAAAATGCCTTGAGCCATGGGGAAATATGGGATATAAATGTTTAAACAAAAAAAATCATTACTTTCTGCCAAAACTTTGTAGGGCAGAACATGGTAGCTGTTCAGATCCTTACCTAAAACTTCATTGGATAAAATGGATTACAGAACAAGTGGGTTTCAAAAAATAAAAAGAAGAGGTAAGCAGGACATTTACAGTACATTCCAGAGCAGAGTTACCCCCTCCTAAGTTAGTTTAAGTCAAGAAGAAGATAAGAGAATGTTTTATACCCCACTTTTCTCTACCTTAAGGAATCTCAAAGTGGCTTACAACGGCATTCCATTCTGACAACAGGCACCTTGTGAAGTAGGTGGGGCTGAGAAAGTTCTGAGAGAACTGTGACTAGCCCAAGGTCACCCAGCAGGCTTTGCTTGCGTATTTTTGCTGCTACATTGGTAAGATGGTGTTTATAGTTCAAGGTCCTGTCCAGGGTAATACCAAGTAACTTAGATATATCATTGTGTGTGAGTTGCGTGCCATTAAAGTAGACATTCAGTTCACAGTTGGCAAGATTGTTATTGAGACACAAACAGACACATTCTGTTTTTCCTGGTCTTGGGATAAACCACCATTTATGTTACTTTACCAGGTTTATTTATTGCTGATAGCCAAAGGCTGTTGTAATTTTAATATAAGAAAAAACATAAAAGAAAAGAATACAAAGACCATATAGAATTTAAAATGCAAGAACCAAGCAGACACACGAACATAAACATCTAATAAAATTACAATAAAGTTTGAGTATCCTTCCCATAAAACAAATTAACCTACAACTAGTATGGGCAGTTCACTGCCTGGTCAGACACAGTATTGGCCTAAATTTTCTTAGCTACCAATGCATAGAAAGAAATCACAGGAGTTAAATTGGGGTCTAGAAGTCACCATATACTCATCGGAACAAACCACCAAATATCAATTTCCTTAGTACTCTGATATGCTTTCAAAATGAGCCTTCTTTGAATCAGGTAATGTGTTGGATGTGTTGGGCCAGGCAAGTCCTTGAGAAAGTATAAGAGAATAGAAATCCTATGGATGGCAAATGTGCAATAGAAATGTTTTAAAAATCTTAGCCCTTGGCAGAAAAAGTATTTTTTAAAACTCCAAAATGTCTTCATGGATTTCAAAGTTTAAGGATTATTTGGTTATTTCCTTTAATATAATTATTTAAAAATAAATCTATAAGCTAAATGTGCACAATTTCAGAAACACAACATAACTAGTTATGCTCAAATGCTTACTTTAACAGTCACTAGCCAAGCCAATTACTCAACAGGCTGCTAGAGTGCATCTGAATAAACCTGATGTGTCAGTTTTCATGATTATATTCCTCACACAATTATACACTCTGAAGAGAAACCAGAGTATCATATGATTATTCGTTCTCACCACTTCCACCTCCTTCCACTACCCGTCTGTACAGCTGTCTCCAATGTTTAGAAGGGCACAAAGTGAAATAATGTTTAAAAGATTAGTTTGACATTTTTGAACAGGGAATTACTCATTAACCCTGCAATTAATTATTTTGTTTAATAGAATCTTGCATTCCAAAAGACTTCCCACAACTGTTCATTGCTTAATGAGATACACATCACAAATTCAAAATACTCAGCATTATGTACAATTCCTAGTTTGATGCTTAGATTTCCCTCATAAGAACATAAGAGATGCCAATATTGGATCAGGCCAAAGGCTCATCCAGTCCAACACTCTGTATCACACAGTGGCCAGAAATACCAGGTGCCATCAGAAGGTCCACCAGTGGGGCCAGGACATTAGAAGCCCTCCCACTGTTGAGCCCCCCAAGCACCAAGATGACAGAACATCACTTGCCACAGAGTCCCTATCTATACCTTGTGGCTAATAGCCACTGATGGACCTCTGCTCCATATGCTTATCTAATTCCCTTTTGAAGCCATCCATCCTTGTAGCCGCCACCACTTCCTGTGGCAGTGAATTCCAAGTGTTAATCACTCTTTGGGTGAAGAAGTACTTCCTTTTATCCGTTCTAACCCGACCGCTCAGCAATTTCATGGAGTGCCCACGAGTTCTTGTATTGTGAGAAAGGGAGAAAAGTACCTCTTTCTCTACCTGCTCTATCCCATGCATAATCTTATAAACCTCAATCATGTCACCCCTCAGTCATCGTTTCTCCAAGCTAAAGAGCCCTAAGCGCCTTAACCGTTCCTCATAGGGAAAGTGTTCCAACCCTTTTATCATTCGAGTTGCCCTTTTCTGCACTTTTTCCAAAGCTATAATATCCTTTTTAAGGTGTGGTGACCAGAATTGCACACAGTATTCCAGATGAGGTCGCACCATTGATTTATATAGCGGCATTATGATATTGGCTGATCTGTTTACAATACCCTTCCTAATAATCCCCAGCATAGCATTGGCCTTCTTTATTGCAGTCACACACTGTCTCGACATTTTCAGTGAGTTATCCACTACAACTCCAAGATCTCTCTCTTGATCAGTCTCTGCCAGTTCAGACCCCATCAACGTGTATTTATAGTTAGGATTTTTGGCTCCAATGTGCATCACCTTGCACTTGGCCACATTGAACCCCATTTGCCATGTTGACGCCCACTCGCCCAACTTTGACAGATCCCTTTGGAGTGCCTCACAATCCTCACTGGTTTTCACCACCCTGAACAACTTCGTATCATCCGCAAATTTAGCCACTTCACTGCTTACTCCCAACTCCAAATCATTAATGAACAAGTTAAAAAGCAGTGGACCAAGTACTGATCCCTGTGGTACCCCACTGCTTACACCCCTCCACTGGGAGAACTGCCCATTTATACTCACTCTCTGTTTTCTATTAATTAGCCAGTTTTTGATCCATAAAAGGACTTGTCCTTTTATCCCATGATTTTTGAGCTTACTTAGGAGCCTTTGATGAGGAACTTTATCAAAAGCTTTCTGGAAGTCAAGGTAAACAATATCTATTGGATCCCCTTGTCCACATGTTTGTTCTCCCCCTCAAAGAACATTAACAGGTTAGTGAGACAAGATCTTCCCTTACAGAACCCATGCTGAGTCTTTGTTTTAACAAGGCAATCTTTTTGCAAGGAAGCAGCTGCTTAATTCTGTAATTAATTACATCTGTACAATTGAAAACAGCCTGTTATATGGCTTTGAAATTGTATTGTATGTAGATAGGCTGATACCTTCACCTGGATAGCCCAGGCTAGGCCAATCTAGTCAGATCTGGGAAGTTAAGCAGGGTTGGTCCTGGTTAAAATTTGGATGGGAGACCACCAAGAAAGTCCAGGGTCAAAACACAGTGGCAGACAATAGCAAACCACCTCTGGACATTTCTTGCCTTGAAAACCATACAGGGTCACTGCAAATGGTCTCTGACTTGACTGCAAAAAAAAAAGTGCTGATAACTGTGTATCAATCTTGGCTGGTCTATGATCACAACGAATAAAGTTAAAAGTATTTAATATTGGTCTCTGTAGAGGATTTTCTTAATTAAAAATCATTTACAGAATAAATCGCATAATATTATCCCTAAATTGCCTAGATGCTAGTAATCTGAAAAGTTTCCAGATAAGAAAGGCTGTAATACTTCTATTAGCACAGAAAGTGGCGGCATCTGAGCGTTCTGGATGAATTGCTTTAAAATTCATGTTTTTTGCAGGTTTCTGTTACTCATCTCTCTTTCAAAGAGACTCAACTTGGCAAAATAATAGAAATGACAAACTCATCTGTGTGGCTCAGTGAAATTTATCCTGTATTTGATCATCTTAATTGGTGTTCAACTAAATCTGCCACTATTAAACTCAGTATTAGTAAAGCTTTACAGTGAGGTTAATCTTTGACACCTGATGCAATTGACTTTTCACAGCATTAGGTAAAAATGTGAAGCAAGGGTGACAAAATCTAATATAAGTTATTTCAAAGTATCAACATGGAGCTATAGTATTACGTATTGTTTTTGCCTGGAATCAGAAATAGTACATAAAGACAGGTAACTTAAGTAAAATGTTTTATAAAGAACACCTTCCTTATAGGTAGATATGACAGACTCCACTTTTAAAAGCTTAGAAGTGCTGTGTAAACAGATGGTTTATCTGTTTTCCAAGAGATCTGATTGGTTAGCATTAGCTGAGCAGAAAAAGACTTCTGAACTGGATACTGAGGAAACTGAGTCTGATTTCAGCCTTAGCTGAAAAGAGTCAAGTACTGACAGTTTCAGATTTCAGCCTTAACCAAGAGTAGTTTAAAACATACAGGAGAACTGAGGGAAAGTTGGCAAGGAGGTTTGGGAAGTAGGCAAAGTCTACCATTCGGGCCAAGGAAAGGGGATAAATCAGGGGTTATAACATTTGTTATAAGGGCTGGATCTTACATAAATGGGACTTTGTTGGGCTGGGTCATGTTTGTCATAAAATGTAATACCGAGTAGTGGAGATAAAAGGACACAGATGAACACAATTAAAGATGCAGTGCAGCACTGGGCTGATGTTCCTGTACTGCCTGGAGTAGGGAGAAAACCCTTTCCCCAACCTGCTCTCATGGTCAATACTTTGAGCTTAGGACCCAGGGGAAAACATGAAATGGCTGGGCCTTGCAAGCTCCCCTCCCAGGTCTACTCAGAGTGGCAGTGGCACTACAGGGTCTCAGGTTGATGTCTTTCTCATAATAAGCCACAGCCTGGCCTTTTTAACTGGAGGTGCCAGGGATAGACCCACCTGGCTCCTTAGCTCAATGAACACAAGAGAAAAGCCTCCACCAGGAAGCACAACATTTGCAACCATGCTTCAGCCAGCAAACTTCAGCAAATAACTCTAGCAGACCCATGTGTCTCCTTAGCTCAATAGATGCAAGAGAAAAGCCTCCACCAGGAAGCACAACATTTGCAATCAAGCCCCCTCCCCCTCAGCCAGTAAGCTTTATCAAATAAACAACTCTACCGGACCCATGTGGGCATAGGAGAAGCCAGCAAAGATGAGGGCACTTTGGCAGCCACACCCTCTGTTCTCTGCACTCAGAGGCAGCTCTGAAGGGCAAGGACAGGCAGGGGCAGGGGCAGGGAGGGGGGAGGGAAGAGAGCTGCAGGCTGGATTAAAGCCCTGGGCAGGCCAGTTCTGGCCTGCAGGCTGTATGTTTGACACCCTTGGGATAGATCTTCTAGAGAGTGAAATCCCTACCCAGTCAAACAGGGAGTTAGCTCTGAAGAGTGAAGATATCCCTGATCTGGTGTGAATAGAAACTGCCTTTAGAGAACTTAACAGTCAGTTAAAAACTCAAGACAAGTACTGGTGTTTCAAGGGAAGGGGTTTGGATACTG